TTAGAAAATCCATCAACATCATCCACCACATCAACAAAAAGAAGGACAAAAACCACATATTCATCTCCATAGAAACCGAAAAAGAATGTGACAAAATTCAATACCCATGCATGCTAAAAACTCTCAACAGAATGGGTACAGAGGGCAAATACCTCAACATAGTAAAGGCCATATATGACAATCCACCAGCCAACATCATACTTAACAGCAAGATGCCGAAAGCTTTTTGTTTAAGATCAAAAACAAGACAACGATGCCCACTCTCTCCACTTTTCTTCAACGTAGTTCTGGACATCTTTGCCATGGCAATCAGACAACAGAAAGAAATAAAAGGCATCCAGATTGGTAAAGAAGAATTTAAACTGTCACTTTTTGCAGATGACATGATATTGTTCATAAAAATACTAAAGAACCCACACCAAACAACTAGATCTAATATCTGAATTCAGCAATGTTGCAGGATACAAAATTAATACACAGAAATATATTGCATTCCTATACACTATTGGTGAACTAGCAGAAAGAGAAATCAGGAAAACAATTCCATTCGCAACTGCATCACAAAGAATAAAATACCTAGGAATAAACCTAACAAAGGAAATGAAATACGTATACTCTGAAAACTACAAAACGCTCATGAGAGAAATTAAAGAAGATACTAATAAATGGAAACACATCCCGTGCTCATGGATAGGAAGATTTACTATTGTTAAAATGGCCATCCTGCTTAAAACAATCTACAGATTCAATGCAATTTCTATCAAAATACCAATAGCATTCTTCAATGAAGTAGAGTAAATAGTTATAAAGTTTATATGGAACCACAAAAGACCCCCAAATAGCCAAAGCAAACCTGAGAAGGAAGAATAAAGTGTGGGGGGGAGGATTATGCTCCCCAACTTCAAGCTTTACTGCAAAGCCACAGTAATCAAGACGATTTGGTACTGGCTCAAGGACAGACGCATAGACCAATGGAACAGACTAGAGAACCCAGATATAAACCCAACCATATATGGTCAATCAATATGCAATAAAGAAGCCATGGACATACAATGGGGAAATGATAGCCTCTTCAACAACTGGTATTGGCAAAACTGGAAAACTACATGCAAGAGAATGAAATTGGATTATTTTCTATCCCCATACACAAAAATAAACTTGAAATGGATCAAAGACATGAATGTAAGTCATGAAACTATAAAATTCTTAGAAGACAACATAGGCAAAAATCTCCTGAATATAAACACGAGCAACTTTTTCTGAATGCATCTCCTCAAGCAAGGGAAACAAAAGGAAAAATGAACACATGGGAGTACATCAAACTTAAAAGCTTCTATACATCAAAGGATACCATCAACAGAACAAAAAGGCATCCTACAGTATGGGATAATGTATTTGTAAATAACATATCTGAGAAGGGGTTAACATGCAAAATATATAAAGAACTCAGACACCTCAACACCCAAAAAGCAAATAACCTGATTTAAAAATGGGTGGAGGATATGAACAGACAATTCTCTGAACAAGAAATTCAGATGGCCAACAGACTCATGAAAAGATGCTCCATATCACTAGTCATCAAAGAAATGCAAATTAAAACCACAATGAGATATCATCTCACACCAGTAAGGATCACCACCATCCAAAAGACAATCAACAACAAATGTTGGCGAGGATGTGGAGAAAGGGGAACCCTCCTACACTGTTGGTGACAATGTAAGCTAGTTCAACCATTGTGGAAAGCAATATGGAGGTTCCTCAAAAAACTAAAAATAGAAATACCATTTGACTTTGGAATTCCACTCCTAGAAATTTACCCAAAAAATGTAATTTATCAGATTCAAAAAAACATATGCACTCCTATGTTTATTGCAGCAGTATTTACAATAGCCAAGATATGGAAGTACCCTAAGTGTCCATCAGTAGATGAATGGATAAAGAAGAGGTGATACATATACACAATGGACTACTATTCAGCCATAAGAAGGAAACAAATCCTACCATTTGCAACAACATGGATGGAGCTGGAAGATATTATACTCAGTGAAATAAGCCATGTGGAGAAAGACAAATACCAAATGATTTCCCTCATTTGTGGAGTATAACAGTGAAGCAAAACTGAAGGAACAAAACTGCAACAGATTCACAGACTCCAAAAAGGGACTAGCAGTTACCAAAGGGGAGGGTGGGGGACGGAAGGTGGAGAGGAAGGGAGAAGGGGACTGTGGGGTATTATGATCAGCACACATGGTGTGGGGGGATTATGAGGAAGACAGTGTAGCACAGAGAAGGCAAATAGTGGCACTGTGGCATCTTACTATACTGTTGGGTAGTGACTGCAATGGGGTAATGGGGGGACACTATAACGTGGGTGAATGTATTCACCACATTGTTTTTTCAGGTGAAACCTTCATAAGCATGTATATCAATAATACCTTAAACATATATTAGTCCATTTCCTCTTGTACAGAGAGTTATCACCACAGGCCTTTGGCTGGTACTTTTCCGGGTTTAGAAAATCCCCCATAAAGTATGGTTGTGAGAGATAGCTGACAGGACTAAGACAACTCTTAAAGTGGAAGGGTGTTACTTGAAATAAAGAATATTCTTTATTATAGTAAATACATTGGAAATCAAAATCACTATCCCTCTAATACAAACTGCTGAAAGCACAGATCTACAATATCTTTTTGGCTGTTGGGCACAGTTTGGAAAATATCAATGTGATGTAGTAGGTTTTTCTAGGAGTCAAGGATCTGACTCCTAGAGAATTAAGTCCACAGTAACCTTTTAATGAGTTTGTATTTTTGTCAAAGGGAACCCTGATTTTAAGAAGTTGAGAAATTGAGTGACATTGTCATTCTGCAAATTGATCTTCAGAGTACTTTCACTTGTTTATTTGTTTTATCGTTAAAAAAAAGAAATTATTTACAAAACACTTGTCTGTGGCCTAAAAGTTGAAGCTTTCATGATAACATTGTTCTGAAAGAAATAAAATGGCCCTTGGCAAAGTATAATATGTTCCCTTTAAGATCTAATTTTAATTTCTGAAGATCCCCTATAATTAGATTTCCCTGCCATGGCCCCATTATTTATGACTACATGATATATAACAGCTACTTAGAAGCCTAGAATCAAATAATTGTATTGCTAAGAAGGAAACTAAAGACCACCAATTCCATGCTCTACACCATTATTTTAGGTGAGAATATTGAGACTAAGAGAAATAAAGCCACTTGTCCAAGGCTGCACATAGGGAGTCATTGTCAGAACTTGAGCTAGAACCAAGACTTTTTGACTCTCTGTGTAGATCCATCTACTTCATCACTCTGCCTGTGATACATTTGAACCACTACTAGATGAAAACTTTCCTAAAAAATATCCTACTGTGGAGTATAAGTAACCTTTTAAACCAAAAGTTTCAAGATAAACACAGATTCCCTGCAAATCATTGCCCTGAATGTTGGGTCTCTCTGAAATGGTGATTTCTCAACAGACAGATCTATGCTCTTTGATAAAGAAGTGACTAAGAGCTATAGGCGGCCCTGCCTCTTAGGATACCAACTGATGTACTTCAAATATAACTGGCCATGAAGAGCTGTCCAAAACCACCCAGAGGTATGCTCACCCATTTAAAGTCTTATTCCACCATTGCCAGGATTTGATCAGTCTGTACTTGAACTTAAAAACTTTCCTGATTGAGCCTAAAAAGAAACTGCTTCTGTCCAAAGGAGGACCTGTGTTCAAAAAGAAGCATTGCAAAGACAATTACCCTGAATGCATGACCTACTTCTCAGTATAGTTTAGGCCATTTCCCACCTCAGTATACCAGCATATTACCTAATTTCAAGATTAAATATTTTTACTGTGTCACAATAGCTAATAGATAAACTCCTCAATTAATAGAAATGGCAATGATTCCCTGCATCCATTTGAACTAAAATAAAAATGTTCCCACTTGCAAGATGCTTGGAGCTGAGGCTACTCCCCAAAAAAGTATAACAAAGCTTCTCATCATTTTATCCAGAATGATCCTGGTACCAACTGGCATGGTACAATCTATCTTCAAGGACTCCCCAACTGGAAGTCCTCTTTAGACTCAGTCATCTTGGCTCAGAACCAGAGAATAATGATAGCACCCAGAGTAATAAGAGCAATAATCACTGAAAAGATACATGCTTCTCTTGGATTCTGCTATCCAGTATGGCAGAACTTGGGTCAAAAATCAGCTTTCAAAGGATCAAGAATAATCTCTGAACAGACTCTGATATCAATTCACCAAAGTAATATGGGAAATTTTCTCCTTTCCTAACCTAAAAATCCAACATATTGTCTGGGAGATACAGGATTCTGTAGGGGTAAGAGAACATGATCTAGAAAACACAGGGTGACTTAACCTCTGCCACTAACTAGTTGGGTGATCTTAAGTGGCTTTACTTCACTGGCTCTCAGTTTGTGAAGAATTTAGATTTCTAAGAGCTTGTTCAACTCCAAAATCTATGACCTGACTTTTTCCTTCTCTCCTAAAAGAATATACCATCTGTAACTATCTGTGAAAGCTAAACTCACCAAAGCAAAGATATTTTACATAAAATTTTTCATTTATTATGTAACTAAATTATACAGAATAGGAATTCAAATCCTCTTTTTCTGGCTGAAAATGTCAAGTCCCAGTGAACCTCACCGAGCGCATTTTTTTTCCTTATCACTTTGTGTCGTCTTCCCTAGTTCGTGAAGAAATAGAGTCCTTGGCAAAGAATGAACTGCATCACAGACTGGTAATAATGGTGGGAACTGTTGGCATTAATCTTAATTTTGTACTCAAGTCAGACTAAAGGGAAATCACCATTGCTCCTGTTGTAAGAAATCTAAAATGAGAAACCACAAACCATTTTCAATTTAGACACTGGCCCTATATCTGCTTCTGTCCTGGATCCTCATGCCTCAACCAGTCCTCCTGCTTGGAATCACCAATTCCCAGATACTATGCTATAACTTACCTTGGAGCCTTGATGAGATTAGCACTCTTGTTTCTTTGCAGGGAGCTGGGTATGAAAAAGCCTAACTGTGTGGCACGGATCCTGCTGATAACTGACAAATTTGTTGTTGAAAGAGGAAGTTCAGTGCATTTGGTGTCTCACCACAGAAACCTTATTTGCACAAACAGAAGGTAAGTCCCTTGAGCAGATGACGCTGCTCGATTTATTTCATTGGTGCAGAGAAATGCAAAGAACAGGGAGCCAAAGGCTATTCAAAATCAAACAATGACTGGATACCAGCCTTCCTCATTGTTTCTCACCCTATCTCCTTCCACCGCAACCCACATGACTGTTTCATTAGATTCCAGTAGGCTCCATGGCAAGATAGGACTTTGAGGCAAAATCTGAAAAGAGTTTATCTGAACAGGAAAGTTATAACTCCTTCAAACCTGAGGGACAAAGGGTCAGGAAACCTCAAGAATAAAAGTCAGAATGACAGCTGTCAGACTACCTTTGCTTTAGCCATTCCCTCCATCTGCAGTGGCTTTCTCTCAACCTCTCAAGTCTCATAATTTAAGGTGTAATTTAGTTATTTTTGTTCACTTACTAGCCTCTTACTATACTGCAAACTGCTTGGGGCAAAGAATATCTGACTCATTTCTGTATACCTAACTACTACAGTAAAAGGCAATTTCACAAATGTTGAATGAATAAGTGAGGGAATGAATTTAAAAAATAGAAGTTCAAATAACATGAATAAATAAATGAACAGTGTTGATTACAGAGTCTTCCTCTAGTGTATTAAGATTTTGTTCTTTATGTATATTGTCTATGGGGCCTTTATCAGTATGTAAATAAAGATAATACACTTGAAGACTATAGAGTCAGCCAAGTCTGAGTCTAGTCCTGAGAAAAAGGGCTTGCAAAGTAAGCAGCACAAACTCTGTGGGCATGTAAGGAAACCAGATTCAGAGCCCAGAACCTGGAGCTACTAAGATCTTTCTTGGTAATATCCACAGCAAAGGAGAAAAAGAAAGCACTGCGGGTTAAGTCAAATAGCAGCATTTGGATTTATGGATAAAACCGATTAAAGAATGAAATGTATGACAGCATTTTTGTAGTAGGGCAATCTGGATCTGCAACATGCTTTCATAGAACCAGGCCCATTTAAGAACAAGACAGAGCCATGCCCAACACTCAGAGATCTCTAATACAAACTGCAAGGGCATCAAGAGATGGAAAATAAACACTTTCAGCACTAGAAACTAAGAGCTTGAAATGATTGATGGAAAATCCATGATTTGTGAGGACTGTCAAAGAAAAAGGGTACCCATCCTGGCTGAGGTATATTAAATGAAACATGTTTGACCTTGCAATTCACTTAACTCTAGTTTCATGTATTTATCCAGTTTCAATCTGTTGTTAATTTAGTTCTCTGACTTGGCATCCCTACTGAAAGGAGAATACACTGACAGGCAAACACATATTTCAGTCCATTTGGCAGTTCTGTTCCACATTATAAATTATGAAGTTGGCTTTCTGGTACAAATTCATCCCTTGTGAGTTTGGGCAGTATGAGGCTGTTTTCCTAGTGTATGATTCTTGTTCAAACAAAGAGGTTTGTAGGCTCATTGAACTGTAAATCCGTACTCTGAGACAGAGGGAGAAAAGGAACCCTGTCCTAACAATTAGCTATTATGGCTACCTCCCACCTTCTCTTCGTAGAAAACACCTTAACATTGATAAGAAGCAAGCCTGCCAGATTACCATATTTCTATCTTGCATGCAAGTATTTTCTCCAATCATTGGCCATAAAAGGGGAAGTAAAAGTAGTTCAAAAGTCAGTGATGTAGTTTAGGCAAAGAAAAATTAAATCCAGGTAAAGTTTTGAGTGTTAATTAAAAGGAGAAAAGCTGTTGACAAATCAAGAGAGCTGATAACTTATTAACAATTTTCAGTTAACTTTTTTAAGACTTCTCTTTGTTATAATTGATTATCTAGGAATCATTACATTTCAAACCAAGTAAAAAATATCTGGTATAAGAGTCTAATAAACAATACAGCTGACCCATTTTGCCCACAGTTCCAAATTCTTCCTTTTTTTTATGTGTCCCCTCAAAGATTACTTTTTGCATCTTATCTTCCCTAGGCTGGGGAAAGTTTATGAGTTGGTGCTTACAGATCTTCTCTAACAGGAACAATAGATTAAGAGAGATAGCTGTTGTTGAGGACATTATTCATAATAACATACTGTATTTTCTAGGAGAACCCAACAAACAGTATGACCTGATCTCAGTATTAGGAAGAACTGTATTTTTCCTAAGTAATTGGTTTGATTTGATTTTAATGGATACTGATAATTGTGTGCCATGTCTCTTTACAGTGTATGTTGAAACTCAGCCGGAACTAATTTATAGTCTACTTATAACAAGTTTGGAGATCTTTATGTCATGGGCTGTTTTTGATTATCGTCTTTAATGGCTCTATTTTTATGTTCTTGTCTATTTTATATTTATTCTTTTCCACCTACCATTCATTCCTATTTTCTTGCTTTAATATGCAACCTTTAAAATGACATTTAATCCTTCCTGGAACAATAGTGGAACAAAAAAAAAAAAAAAGAAAGAGTGAACTGTCACCTCAATTCCTTTGTTAGAATTAGTGAATATTAATTGTCTTAGATAAACTGTCTTCAGGAGCTTCCATATCAGATTCTATATCCACAGAATATCCCTAAACTTTTTTGGAATTAATCATTCAACAAGTACATAAAAAGCTACAACGATGAGCAACTGTGTTGGATGGTAAGTGGTAAGGTTGGGGCTCAGAAGAATAAAATATGCTCTCTATCCTACAAAAGTTCACAGTTTAAGTGGTAAGCTGGTCACTCATAAGTGAATTAGAAAAAATGGCATAATATATGGTGTAATATTAGATATATGAAAGTTAAGAAGGTGAGATCACTACCTACTGTGCCTGTCTGGGAAGGTTTGCTGGTCCTTGCTCAATAGGCAAGTTTGATTTAACCAGCATTCTCACTGGGTAGAACCTGTCCCACTGGGGGCATGCAAGGTTATTTTTGGTGGTACAAGGAATAGCTTTATAATAATTTTCACATTACACATTTGTCTTAAGACTTTAAATGTAATTAAAATTACCATTTCACATCTATAATTTCATGTATAATATTACTTAGAATGAGGCTAAAATAGGAAGCTAATTTTTTTAAGTATGATTAAACAAACACAAACACAAATAAAAGTATAGATGGTGAGCCGACATAACAAAAACTATGGAGAAAGTTTGAGCATCTGAAATCTGGCAAATACCAACACAAAGAGAAGGGAGAAGGCAAAGGATTCCAGGAAAAAGAAGGAATATTGCCAAGGATATGAATGAAGAGTAAACAAGTGTTAGTTGGGTGGTACATAGGACCAAATTTTGACTAAAACATAGGGCATGTTAGGGAACAGTGGGAAAAAAGTCTGAAGGGTAGAACCATACAAAGATTTTAAGTATAGAAGTCATAGGATACAGGAAGTCATGAAGGGTTTTAAGCAGAGCTGAGGGAAGGAGATAAACACTTTTACTGAGTACTTTTTATGTAATGGTCATCATTGTAGGAATATCATGTCAATGAATCCTCAGAAAACCATATACAGTAGGGCCTACTATCTCCTAGGATACTGATGAGTGAATTGAAGCACATAAAGGTTAATTAATTTCCCTACAGTTACACAAGTGGGATAGGCAAGATTCAGACCCACATCTGTCTGTCTCTAGAATCCAACCTATATTCTACCTCTCCATGAAAATTTTTGCTAAGAGGAAAGTATAAAGAATAGATTTGAGAAGGGAGTGAAGTAGGAGGTAGGGATCCCTATTGGAGGACATACCTATAATGAATTTAAGGTAATAAGAGCATGGATTAGGACAGTGGCAGTAAGAATGAAGATAAAATATAATTTCAAAAGAGTTATGTTTTGCAAACAAGCACTTAAAACTGTAGTCAGTTAAGTGAAAGAGGAAATGAATCTTCACAAGTAGGAATAAATCGATCTTTAAGGGGTTTAATTTTTGCATATTTTTCACTAAAATTTTTAAAGTCATACACTGAGTTATCTTTCTTCAGTGAGAAAAACATACTTTGTAGCTGAACTTCATTTTCCTGAAACACAGAAGTTTATTTTGGAGACAGGTATCAGTACAAGGCAAGTTCTTGAGACCTCCTGAAAATAGAATGGTTAGTCTCACAGGATGTGAATTTCTAAAGAAATGTACTCCAGAGAATTTCCAAAAAAAAAAAAAAGGCTTCCTTCAGTTAACTAAGTGGCTGGTGGGGTATGCATGTTGTGAATTAACATAAATGATGGGATTTCCCCAAATTCATGATGGTCTATTTGGTTTCTATATAGTCAAAGCCATGAACAATGTGCAAGAAGACAGGGATGTGACAACAGTATATCTTGTCTTAATTTCTTATTTTGGTATCCTGGCTATGAGACTTATTAACTACACATGTCACTAAGACTGACCTCAGGAAAATGGTGGAATAGATGAAGATTACATATGTGTCTCACACTTCCTTTGTTGGCCTTTTTGTTCAGCTTTCTCTCCAAGGATATTGTGCTGTTCCAGACCTCTGGGTTCTTGTCACAAAATAAGGTAATTTTAGCAGATTCTTAATGTTAAACCAAAAAGCATTTTTAAACTGAATGCTACAAATGCAAGATAATTGATTCCAAGTGTCTGGAATTTCATGCACTGACAAACAGCAAAGGACTCTTCAAATCAACATTCCTAAAATCAGCAATTAAAACCAATTTCTCAAATCAGCAATTCTCAAGCTTTTTGGTCTCAGACCCCTTTACACTCTTAATAATTATTTAGGACCCCAAAGAGCTTTTGTTTATATGGATTGTATCTATCAATATATATGATATTAGACATAGAAATTGATGTTTAAAAATATCAATTTATTAATCCATGTAAAAATAAATTCATATGGTAATATAAAAATAGTTTATGAGACATAATATACCAAAAAATAATAATAAGAATAACAATATTTTACATTTTTTGCAGACCTCTTTAATGTCTGGTTTAATTGAAGAATGCTT